TTGATCAACCCCGAAGGTCTTCTACGATTGTCCCGATCACACTCTCCCCTTGTATCCTATAAAAATACAAGGGGAGAAAACTGGGAAGGGCCCACCGCTTCGGCGCATAGTTAAATTGGAAGAAGGGTTCTATTTTACTATAATTTAAAAAATTTAAACCAAAATTGCTATGAAGGATGGAACAATTAAATTTATAAAAATTACATTGTACTGCATCAATTTCAATTTCGTATTGTTTGGCATTAACTGAATCAAGTTTTTTGAATGCATCACCGACAATCATTGGCATGTTAATTCGATCAACTTGATGACTATTACCGCTAGAGGTTCCTGCTCCATGATGATTTCGGGTTCCTTTAGAACCTCCTGTCCTTCGCATTCCAATTGCATATTCAATGCAAATTAAAGAAAAAATCAAAGAGAAAAACATTCTTTTTTTAAAGAATGAATTTAAAAGCTTTAAGAAAATCATCTGGAAAATTTGGATATATTATACGTTAACGGTAAATCAGTCAAAACAAATCAAGGATGTTGTCTATTTTATATTTATATAAATTTAGGAGAATTAAAAAAAATTTAAAAAGTAATTTAAAATGAGTGTTGCTAGGTATTCAATGCTTATTTATAAGGTCCCAATGACTGCCCATTGCTATCACTAGGAAACAAGACAAACAATAATTGCCTAGCATAGGCATTTCCAATAGCAGAGCGAGTGCGCTAGTAGCACTAGGTAAAGCGTCGACTGTCGCTCTTCTTAGCGATTATTGAAAATTCATATGTATAAAGCGGCGCTCTCTTCGCTAAAAAACATTAGGCAATCGACCATCTCGATTCTTGCTTCACGTTAGTTGTTGCTTAATTAAATGCCTTGCAAAATCATGTGTATGGTCTCGAGATATTTAAAAGAACTGGGACGCCTATCTATCTCATGGGATGCCTATATGAAGATTCATGGGACGCCATGGCTCGCTTATACTTTGCTGGGACGCTTAAAATTTCATGGGACGCATAAAAACTCATGGGGCGCATGTTGTGAGTCAATCAATTAAATAAAGCAATTTAAATTTAATTTGCCCTTTCTATTTAATAAAAAAAATTTAAATTTAAAACATAAAACCTTTATCGTAATTTAGCCTAATGTTTGTTATTGAAATGTAATGGACATTATTTTGTTAATAGAGGTTCATTACATTGAGGTTCCTCACTACTTTTGGCGTATATCGGATAAGAGTTAGGCCTGGCTCGAAAACTATGCCCAATATACTCAATTATAAGTTTTCTCCAATAATTCAAAAAATTTTATTCTCCGTATAATATAAAACATGACAAGGAAATTATGTATTCTAAACTTAAAATTCATTTTAAGATCTTTCAGTACCTTCTTATTTTATTGGGTTATACGAAGCAACATGTTCATATCGAGCCCTAAAATTGAGGCATATAATAAGAGTACGATAAAAGTAAAAGTACGGTAAGCGGGCATCGATCCTGCAAAAACTCACAGATATTTCTAGGTGCCTTAGATAACCTTGCAAAGTTGCTACTTTTTAAGTGCCAGGCCTTATTTCTGGTTCAGAATTTTTCTAAAATACCCGAGTAAGGTCATTTTTTAATTTTACCAACCTATAAAACGCATGTTGTGCCCTTTGCGGACTCTCGGAACGACGGCTGAGTACAGTAGCCAAAGATTGACGTGAACCTCGAAGTTCTCTCTCAACTGCATGGATTGGGATTGGAGCTGGAATTTCCATCTCTTCCACTGGAGATGGTAAGATTTTTGGGGACGGTGAAGGCTTTGGAGTTGGTTTCTTCGGTGCTGTTTTTGTAGGCGTTGGTTTACGTTCTTCAATTATTGGTTGTGGGCGAGGGGCTTAATAATAATAATTCTTTTAAAATGTATCCTTCAGATTTATCATAGACATTCTTAAATTTTGTTAAGTTAAGTGCCTTCTAAAGATTTTCCTACGAGTTTATATCGAAGATGTTCAATCCCTTGTATGGGGATAAGAACAAACGGGAAATATATTGTCGAAAACAAAAAATTCTCCGGCGATTTATAATAATTTTCAATTGTAAAATCCTTAAAATATTTCTCTATTTTAGTGGGTGCAGAAAAGTTCGCTACAATGACGACTAAACTTAAGACTACAAATGTCGTAGACTTTTTCTGTATTTATTGTAATGGCTCATTTAGCAGCCGGTTCAACTGAAACGACACTACAAAAATCTGTACAAAAATCTGCATAGTAAGTTCGTACAACTATTAAAGAAATTTATGTTTTAATTCAGAAAAAACTGGGGAAGTTATATTAAATATTTTTTATAACCTCCTCCACAACAATTATTAAAAGGAAAAATATGGCAGTACCATCATGGTCAGAGAAGCAGCGTAAAAATGCTAAATTACAAAAACAACTAAAAATTCACCTACTCCTCGTAAAATTATCTTGATTTTTTTAATGTTTCCCAAAGTTGCAGAATTTTCCCAAATATGCAGAATTTTATCAAATCAGAATAATAATTTTTTAAATTATATTCAATATGCCAATAAAAATTAAATTATTGTCAAAAATTTAATGTAAATTCATGAACTTAGTACCCTTAATGACTGGGTCGGGTTGGCACTAGCTTAAAAAACTATGAATTCCAACCCTCCCTTATTGTCCTTAACGAATTAAATTTTAAAAAATTAAAAGAATTTGATTAAATTTGCTAAAATAAAAAAAGTTTTTTTGACAGATTTATGCAATGAAAATTAAAAGAGAACCGAATATGTAAAAAATAATGCCGAAATTTTACATCGTTTTTAATTTATATCATCTCATAAAGTAATCATCAATCTTCACGTATGTATCTTCAGATAAGGGGTCAGGATATCCTAATCCAAAAAGTCTGAATATCATAAAATATTTTCTTTATCTCGCCCCGAAGTCATCCTATATCTCTCCCCAAAGTCTTCTTTATATTCTTTCTGCCAACTTACAAATGGGAGGTGTCATGTCCAAGGGTTGTCCGAGATTTAACTTTCGTATCTAAATAGTCCAAGATTATCCATAGCTCTTGCTTTAATTTTGCTAGTACTAATGAGTTAAAACATGCTTACACATAGACATAGATTTTGGCAGGTATCCGTATCCGGATATCAAAGAACGAATGCGAAAAAGATACGGATTTGGTATCCTTATCTGTTTTTTCTCAAAATTGTCAGTATGACTAAAATCTCAAAATTATTTGTATCCATCTGTTTCTGCCCGATTTAAAAGGCCGATTAAAAATTCCTATCCATCCGTTCCCACAAATATGTCCGAGAACCTCCGCGGGTACAAATGTAACTTAGGTTGTTACTAAATATCAAGTTATATTTGTGATTCAACTTTTAAAGTTTTTGTTCTCAGAAAATAATTTCGGCATCTAAAAGTAGAGAAAAGAATGTTGAAATTTAAAGTTGAAAGTGTTTTTTGTTCAGCAGCAAATCTAACTAGTGTTTTGCTGTTTCATGCAGTCAGTCAAATCAAACTGAATATCAGTTAGTTTCAGACTTCAAAATAACTTTGTGTATGTACATGCTTTCTTCATCGCTATAAACGTAATTTTCATTAAAATAAATAGTTAATTTTGATACAAGAAACTCGAAATGACCAAAGAGAAAGTTGGTTATATCAGGTCATCTTATAGAGAATCCTAGATGCTGTAGGGTGATAATGAAAGCATTTAAGCTGATTAGACATGTAAATGTCTTTATGGTATTTGGCTTCGTCTTACAGTAATATTTTCCTACTTATTTACTAGATTAAAAATTATTTATAAAAATTTCTGATTGTTTAAAGGTACTGTTTAAAATTCCTTCGACTCTTCTTGATAAAGAAACTTTAGTTTCAATCAACAAATAAAGCTAATATTTAACAATAGCTTACATTGCTCTATTTGCCTGTGTTGTTCTTCTTGCCATTAACTTGGTCAAAAACAGTAGTACCACCACTTGGAGTCATATGTTCATCAAGCGAGCGAACAGCAACAGGCCAAGTTTTGAATGTTTTCAAACTCTCTTTATATTTTTCATCAGCAATTTCCATTATGCATTTATAAACAAAATGAAGGCTGTTAAAACTTTTTTCGATAGTACGCCCAACAGTAATTTTAAAGTAAGCTACTTTGATGATATCATACAAACTGAGTTGTTGAGTAAACAACTATTAAAGTCAAATTTTATTTTAAGTTAATCTGCCTATATAGCTCAGTTTTTTATATACAACAAAGATATATGTAAAAAAAGTTACAGATAAATGCTTCCATCCAATCTCAAAGCCTTGTTCCTCAGCCTTAGATTGAGAGCCACGGATTTTCTCTAGCATGTTTGTTGCATAATCTTTAGCAAATTCCAAACCGTATAACGAATTACCATTATCTATGACAAAGTAACTTGTTTTTGTTATGCTATTAAAAAAGATCAAGCCTTTCGGTGTGAGATGAACTAAATAATATTGTGCAATTAGATGGGGTAATAATTGTTTTAATCATGTTTAGTTAGAAAAGTATGGCATAAACGACTGTGCCACCATCTAACCCGATGAAGGTTATTTATTTTCATTTATATTCATTCTGCAAGTGCAGACACAACAAGGGGAGAATGTTTTTTCGGAATTCCTTTTGCGTACTTGCGTACAGCTAGCTGGACAAATACCGTTAAAAATTGGCATAAACACAAGATGACATTAAGATCAAAACTACTTACGTCTAAATTTTTCCTTGTTTTTATATTTAAATATAATCATTGCGTGACCAAATATTGGCTCAAATTTATCATTATTCCTCGGGACGTCTTCAATATTATGAATTGAACCCTTTTCAAAATTCCCATTTTCCTCCAGAACAAGTACTGAACCTCCATCATCTTGGATTAAATAAAAAAAATATTTGATAATAAATTAAGGTTTTAAATAATTTTAAAAAATTTAAAAAATTGCATACAAAAGCATGTTTGAAGGATAAAAAAATTAAATTTATGTATATGTATATAAGTTACATTGTTTTGCATATATTTTAATTTTGTATTGTTTGGCATTATCTAAATCAAGTCCATGGAATTGTCCCCAGACAGGCTGTTCACCTTGTTGACTTCCACCGCCAGAGGTTCCAGCCCCTTCATCTCCAAGATGCTTTCCAGTTCCTTTAGAACTTCCTGCCCCTCCGATTCCGAATTTCTTTTGAATTTTTTCTTTCATTCCAGCTCCAAGGACACCTTCAATGCAAATCAAAGAAAGCATCAAAAAGAAAAACATTCTTTTTTTAAATAAAAAATTTGGTTGTTTTAAGAAAATCATCTGAAAATTGTAAATATTATAGTATATTTTGGGCTAATACGTAAAAACAAATTAAGGATTGTTTATTTAATGTTCAAATTTAAGAGAATTAAAAATTTAAAAAATTTAAACTGCTTTTTGCTGGGGACTTAACGCTTATTTATACGGTTCCATAGCCTTTGTGAACATGTTCATTGAGGCGGAGCATGTCCTGAGTGCGCGTGTTTGTAAATTTCTCTAACGGCATTTTACATGGCCTTTTTTAATTAATATATGCTTCTCATGCTGTCCAGCTAGTACACATTTAAACATGTATAATTTTTATCAAAGAACAAATTCAGTTTAAAAGACATTGATTCTTAAGACTGTCACATTCTTAAGACTGTCACTTAACATATGACACTCTCGACGGCAAAATCACTCATTTGGCCCTACACGATATAATTTTTATCAAAGAACAAATTCAGTTTAAAAGACATTGATTCTTAAGACTGTCACATTCTTAAGACTGTCACTTAACATATGACACTCTCGACGGCAAAATCACTCATGTGGCCCTACACGATATAATTTTTATCAAAGAACAAATTCAGTTTAAAAGACATTGATTCTTAAGACTGTCACTTTCTTAAGACTGTCATATGTATAATGACACTCTCGACGGCAAAATCACTCATTTGGCCCTACACGATATAATTTTTATCAAAGAACAAATTCAGTTTAAAAGACATTGATTCTTAAGACTGTCACTTTCTTAAGACTGTCATATGTATAATGACACTCTCGACGGCAAAATCACTCATGTGGCCCTACACGATATAATTTTTATCAAAGAACAAATTCAGTTTAAAAGACATTGATTCTTAAGACTGTCACTTTCTTAAGACTGTCATATGTATAATGACACTCTCGACGGCAAAATCACTCATGTGGCCCTACACGATATAATTTTTATCAAAGAACAAATTCAGTTTAAAAGACATTGATTCTTAAGACTGTCACTTTCTTAAGACTGTCATATGTATAATGACACTCTCGACGGCAAAATCACTCATGTGGCCCTACACGATATAATTTTTATCAAAGAACAAATTCAGTTTAAAAGACATTGATTCTTAAGACTGTCACATTCTTAAGACTGTCACTTAACATATGACACTCTCGACGGCAAAATCACTCATGTGGCCCTACACGATATAATTTTTATCAAAGAACAAATTCAGTTTAAAAGACATTGATTCTTAAGACTGTCACTTTCTTAAGACTGTCATATGTATAATGACACTCTCGACGGCAAAATCACTCATGTGGCCCTACACGATATAATTTTTATCAAAGAACAAATTCAGTTTAAAAGACATTGATTCTTAAGACTGTCACATTCTTAAGACTGTCACTTAACATATGACACTCTCGACGGCAAAATCACTCATGTGGCCCTACACGATATAATTTTTATCAAAGAACAAATTCAGTTTAAAAGACATTGATTCTTAAGACTGTCACTTTCTTAAGACTGTCATATGTATAATGACACTCTCGACGGCAAAATCACTCATTTGGCCCTACACGATATAATTTTTATCAAAGAACAAATTCAGTTTAAAAGACATTGATTCTTAAGACTGTCACATTCTTAAGACTGTCACTTAACATATGACACTCTCGACGGCAAAATCACTCATGTGGCCCTACACGATATAATTTTTATCAAAGAACAAATTCAGTTTAAAAGACATTGATTCTTAAGACTGTCACTTTCTTAAGACTGTCATATGTATAATGACACTCTCGAAGGCAAAATCACTCATTTGGCCCTACACGATATAATTTTTATCAAAGAACAAATTCAGTTTAAAAGACATTGATTCTTAAGACTGTCACTTTCTTAAGACTGTCATATGTATAATGACACTCTCGACGGCAAAATCACTCATTTGGCCCTACACGATATAATTTTTATCAAAGAACAAATTCAGTTTAAAAGACATTGATTCTTAAGACTGTCACATTCTTAAGACTGTCACTTAACATATGACACTCTCGACGGCAAAATCACTCATGTGGCCCTACACGATATAATTTTTATCAAAGAACAAATTCAGTTTAAAAGACATTGATTCTTAAGACTGTCACTTTCTTAAGACTGTCATATGTATAATGACACTCTCGACGGCAAAATCACTCATGTGGCCCTACACGATATAATTTTTATCAAAGAACAAATTCAGTTTAAAAGACATTGATTCTTAAGACTGTCACTTTCTTAAGACTGTCATATGTATAATGACACTCTCGACGGCAAAATCACTCATGTGGCCCTACACGATATAATTTTTATCAAAGAACAAATTCAGTTTAAAAGACATTGATTCTTAAGACTGTCACTTTCTTAAGACTGTCATATGTATAATGACACTCTCGACGGCAAAATCACTCATGTGGCCCTACACGATATAATTTTTATCAAAGAACAAATTCAGTTTAAAAGACATTGATTCTTAAGACTGTCACTTTCTTAAGACTGTCATATGTATAATGACACTCTCGACGGCAAAATCACTCATGTGGCCCTACACGATATAATTTTTATCAAAGAACAAATTCAGTTTAAAAGACATTGATTCTTAAGACTGTCACTTTCTTAAGACTGTCATATGTATAATGACACTCTCGACGGCAAAATCACTCATTTGGCCCTACACGATATAATTTTTATCAAAGAACAAATTCAGTTTAAAAGACATTGATTCTTAAGACTGTCACATTCTTAAGACTGTCACTTAACATATGACACTCTCGACGGCAAAATCACTCATGTGGCCCTACACGATATAATTTTTATCAAAGAACAAATTCAGTTTAAAAGACATTGATTCTTAAGACTGTCACTTTCTTAAGACTGTCATATGTATAATGACACTCTCGACGGCAAAATCACTCATGTGGCCCTACACGATATAATTTTTATCAAAGAACAAATTCAGTTTAAAAGACATTGATTCTTAAGACTGTCACTTTCTTAAGACTGTCATATGTATAATGACACTCTCGACGGCAAAATCACTCATGTGGCCCTACACGATATAATTTTTATCAAAGAACAAATTCAGTTTAAAAGACATTGATTCTTAAGACTGTCACTTTCTTAAGACTGTCATATGTATAATGACACTCTCGACGGCAAAATCACTCATGTGGCCCTACACGATATAATTTTTATCAAAGAACAAATTCAGTTTAAAAGACATTGATTCTTAAGACTGTCACTTTCTTAAGACTGTCATATGTATAATGACACTCTCGACGGCAAAATCACTCATGTGGCCCTACACGATATAATTTTTATCAAAGAACAAATTCAGTTTAAAAGACATTGATTCTTAAGACTGTCACTTTCTTAAGACTGTCATATGTATAATGACACTCTCGACGGCAAAATCACTCATGTGGCCCTACACGATATAATTTTTATCAAAGAACAAATTCAGTTTAAAAGACATTGATTCTTAAGACTGTCACTTTCTTAAGACTGTCATATGTATAATGACACTCTCGACGGCAAAATCACTCATGTGGCCCTACACGATATAATTTTTATCAAAGAACAAATTCAGTTTAAAAGACATTGATTCTTAAGACTGTCACTTTCTTAAGACTGTCATAAGTATAATGACACTCTCGACGGCAAAATCACTCATGTGGCCCCGTTTAAATGGACAGAATGATTCTCCTGTCTGACAGGCATAAATTTAAGTGAGTGTTGTCAAACGAGCGCGTACTTACAGGCTAAAAAAATGTGACCGAATTGAACATTGTGTACGATTGTGCTTAAATGCTTAATTGAATTCATATGACACGTTAGTCAGTGCCACTATCACATGAATCGAGTACACTTTCATTCGATTTTGGGAATATGCATGTCAATAGTTGCACTCTCGATTTCAATCAAATGCCATGCCATTTTGGCATTAACAAATTAAATTTTTATATTAAAAAATAATTTAACTCTAAAACATACAACTTGGTCGTAATTTAGCCTGTTTGTTATTAAAATGTAATGGACTTCTTAGCTACTTAATAGAGGTTCAGAGATTTAGAGTTAGCTTATTCCTGGTCCTAATTGGGTTCTACTCTGTATATTTAATTATTAATGTGAGCTTCCCCGCCATAGTTGGAGTATATCGTATAAGAGTAAGCTTGTGCCCTTAAGGCCATGAACCTTCAAAAATTCAAATCGTTTCTTCCCCAGTTTCAACATGACACACAACAAATTTATTTTAAAAAAACATCTAAATCTAATCAAAATCCTTCCAAAACATTATCAATTATAGGCAGGTATGTTATCAAATCCTGGTCGAATAAACATATGTTGAGCTCTTTTTGCTTCAGGCGTTTCCACAACTTTCTCTAATGGATGCTCGGCTTCTCCAAGTAGATGTCGAGCATCTCCTGTACGTGTGTCTATGGGTATAGGCATTGGAATGTCAATTTCTTCAAGTGGATCGCTAGTCAATGGCCTGAAATTTGTGAGATGATTTTGAGGAGCTTTGGACAGATTTATTGAAAAAATTGGGCCGACTCGGTCCTCAAGGTCTAGTCGTTCATAAGATAACCGGACTTAAATTGACTAACATGGCCCGGAGTTCGGCCCGAATTGAACTTCGGCCTGGCTCGAAAACTATGTTGTCTAATATACTCTGATTATAAGTTTTCTTCAATAATTCTATAAATTTTATTCTCCGTATAATATAAAACATGACAAGGAAATTATGTGTTCTAAACTTATAATTCATCTTAAGATCTTTCATTGCCTTCTTATTCTATTGGGTTATACGAAGCAACATGTTCAGACCGAGCTATAAAATTGAAGCATATATAAGGTACGGTAAAGTTTGGCTTCGAGCGGGCATCGATCCTGCAAAACACTCACAGATATTCCTATGTAGTGGTATTAGATAACCATGCAAAGTTGCTA